TATATTACAGCAACATAGGATACCATCATACCCGGACGCCCAATCAATGGATTGGCATCCAATTTAGACATTATACTAATGACTATCAAAAAATTTGCTGATATTTTATTATGTAATAGGTACAAATATTATATGAAAATAAAAAATAAATTGTTGAGAAATTTTTTTTTTGCAAATTTCATCATTTTATCATTTTATCATATTTGTTATTGGAACTAGAACATGTATACATTATGCTTAAGGACTAAAGTGAAGTTGATTCGCAATTCTCAATTTTTCAATAAATCTTATATAAAAAAATTTCAATATACATAAATTTAAAATAATGAAAAAAAAGGATTTTGACAAAGTATTTCGTTACTGTAAATTATAATCAAATATAGAGAGTCGTTAAAACTGATCGAATGTTAGAATTGAATGAAGATTATTTATAATATTACAAGAAAGAGATAAGGATATAGGACGAATAAGATACTCTCGTTTGGTATCATCAGATATAAAAGAAAAATTGTTATTCGTTTTATCTGGTACATTTACATTTTTATTATCATTTTGAATCATTTTGATATCAAATGATATCAAAGATACAGCTGCTATTTTTAAAAAAAGAACTGAATTGAATAAAATAATTTCGTGTAAATTAACTGATATATAAACTAATATTTTTTTAACTTCAACCCAAGAAAATATTTAATTTATTATGTAAATTTGCGTATTATTTTTGCGTTTTTAGGAATTTAAATATCATTCGCTTATTCTAAATTTTTACTGATCATCTGTGTTCAGGAAATTCATGCAACTTATAATCAGATTTATATGTTTGTGTAATTAGATCAGATTATAAATAACTTCCCATTAAATTTTATATTTGCTTCCTACGTGTAGCAATCAATGTATGTAATTTTTTGTATTGCAAGTTACATGATTTCTTATGTAAAAATACTTAGATATAATTAATAATACAAAGTGATATTTTGTTCCCACATACTAACAATTATAAGATTTGTATACATTTCGCAATATAGATATTCGTGCCGATATAGTTTGAAAATTATATGTGAAGAAAATAGAGTTCGCAATTTGTTTCGCTATTTATAACTGTGTAACAATATTTATGTATGTGCGATATGCAGATTTTGAATTTATATGTTAGTTTAATGTGATTACTTCGGAGATGTCTTTATAAATTACAAGTCTTGATCTAGGCATTTTAATGGTACCACTTTTTTATTATATCGTAATTATTCAAATCTAATATATTTGTCGTTAAGAAGGGAATAAAGTTTATAAAATAATTTACAGAATTAAACTGCTTCCTCTCTCGGACTACATTTTAATATATTTCATAAACTGCAATTAATTACTTTTTAAATATATATGTCAACCGTTATGTCATTTTGAGATAACGGAGTGCCCGATTTGAATAATTCAAAACAATTCATTTTATTTGTATTGACAAAATAAAGAACTGATTAAATTTTTGAGAAGGCAGATCCAGCAGGTTTGGAGATCCAATAGAAAAAGGAAAAAAAATGGCATTGGGCGGTCAAAAATGATCATTATACATATGCACATTAAATTATCAGATATTTTATAGAGATTTTAATAATAAGTACAAATGTTTGTTTTTGCCGTTATCATGCATTCCGTATGAATTAACGTTGATAAGCTTACGTGCCTTGATAAAACTACATATTTGTCTGATTATTATTATTGTGAACTTTTGTCTATAATACAGCATTTTTCAAAAAAGTCATTTTCGAAAATTTCAAAGCATTTTTAAAAATTTTAATTTTTGGTACGGGAAGTTGGCCAAGGCACGATGCTTTGCGCCACTAATTTTATATATTATTTCATCATGTTTTAATCATGATGGAAATATCTCACGACAAATACTTATTCGTCGAATAAGAATATATGTCATGTTATTATTGAAATGTGACAAAATCAAAACTGTGAGCACCAGAATAAAAATCCTCATTGAATCGCACCGCCGGCGTATGAACTGAATAAAAGTGATCGATCGAGCTGTAATAAAACTGTCACATAAAGTTGCATGCGGCATGAGACTTTTACGACATATAAAATAAAACAGATTCTATGGAGATTTTCCGTCTGTTCACTCATCTATAAAATTTCTTCGTAATTTAAGCTATTTTCATTAACATTATAAATACATTTGCTAATCTGTTGATTACATAGTAGCTCGTAATAAGAGGGCTGCGTTGTATTTTTTTAAACATACTGAAGAAATTAGTTGAATAATGATTTCAATTACATATAAAGTCGGTCACTAAAACTGAAGTCATTGCAAAACAACCCCCAATTATGGGTTCAATACTTTTGTGCGAAAATGTAGACTATAGTAAAATGAATAGGTGGTTGAATGTATAATAACGTGGGTAACACCATTATGATCACACAAGAAAGAATTTTAATATTTATTAAATGTTTTAGAATTATAATTTTCAAAAATGTTTCAAAGAAGTCTATTGTCTACTGTTTTTTTTTATTTTTATCTAAGAATTTGGTATAGAAATTCTCATTGAAGACAAATAATTGCTAATGACAATCGCTATATACCGAATTTTTAAAATTTATTTTCGATGAAATGGTCAACCCGTTTGTACAAAAATAATCAACATTTATTGATATATTTCTGTATATTTCGGAAGAATTGAAATTTGAGAAAACAAATGTTCCTAACACTATATTACCTTCTGCGATTAGGTTATTAGTTAATAATTTCAGTCATTTTCTGTAATTTGATATTGAGTTTAAATAAAATTTGTATATTAGGGTTTACCTACGCCTATTTAACGAATTTCCAACTTAATATCTGTTTGCCAATGTTGTAGCTGTACTAATATAACAATTTTAATTTATTCTATCTATTATGTGTTAGAGATAAATTACAAAAAATAAAAGTAATATTATCTATATAGCACACTACTGGAGATATGCAAATTCACATTCAAGTAAACGTACGAGTAAAAGTAAGGTATGCGTAACTAACGGCAGCAGCTTTTATCATTTTATTATAATTTTACTGGAATTGCAGCCATATTGTCGCTACTTATTTTTTATTTCTACAATATATATAATGATCTATCTTATTCACGAAAACTTTTTCTATTCAATGATTTTAAAAACTAGTTCTGAATTTTTAGAACTTTGACAAAATTTTCAAAGTGTCAAAAACTTTCTTAAAAGTGATTTCTCATAATATAAATTATATATTCTAATATTTGTAGATTTTTTTAGTTTTGAAAGCTAAAAAACTTTATATTATATATAAAGTAGGGCGGGGCACAGGGGTCCAATTTGACTTTGAGCAATTATATTGCAAAAACCAAACCAATTATATCACAAAAAACAACACATATCAAACAAACAACTATCTGACTATGTTCAGTAAATCTTACAGCTGATGCATTATTGTAAAAATGTTTTTTTGGTTGTTTTACTAAAAATTTGTCATCCCGATTGTTGTATTTTGTTAGAAATTTTCATCAGCAGTGTTGGAATAATTATTTAACTTTTGTTAATTTTATTATTTTTTTATTTGCTCTTTTTTATTGTTTATTCCACCCGCATGCATGCTTTCATAAAAATATAAAAGAATTAAATTACGTTTGCTTACAAATTATATTGAAGTCTTGTAAACCAAATCAAAAAAGCTAACAACGAAAGAAAATACTTTTTCTATGGATTTTCAAACATTGCCGCTTATCTACCGATAGCCACGTGATAGGAATCAAGGTGATACAACTTTTTCCTTCTACTTTCAAATATTGTTGTTGAAAAATTCGTAACCTTACTTGATTTTGAGATATCCGTGGTCGACCTTTCCACACGCGGGCCTTTTACTTCGCTATAGGGTAGAGCACATGTGAAAAATGATTGTAGGTTTTACCCAGTGTTAATTCGTTCCGCTGTTGATTATATAGGTACATAAATGTAACATTTATTCACAATTTACCTTATGGCACAAACCACTAATACGAATTCGATTCTACAGGGAAATGCCCGCGCTCATGGCGGTAGCGCAATATGCTTAATTCTTAATTAGCATTTTACTTTTTTATCCACTCGAAAAGCTGACCGATTCATTAAACAAAGTAGTGACAGACAAAACAATATGCCGACCTTGAGAAACATACCGCGTGCAGCCGACCAGCAGAAGCTGGATATTTTCTGTTTGGCCTACGCTCATTGTTTAATATTTACTTTCAATGTTTATATACTCAATCGTATTACTGTCACTAGCGCGGCACTCGACCGATTTTGACACACCATACAGGTAATGCACGCCGTTTGTATAAATAATAATATTGATAAAGACCAGCTTTGTTTTAATTACTTGTTATACTTGTTTCATGTTTATTTTTTCTTCTTTATGCTATCTTAATATTCGAACTGATTATCAGTCTCATATTTCAGACGGCGATGTCGGTTCACGCCGTCACTCATTTATGTTTATTTTTGAGAAAAATATAGTAAAAAGTTACGCATTTTTAATTTTTTTTTATTTTATTAAAACTAAATCATGAAATACATTCTGTTGGTGTAGAAGTACATAATTAAATTGTTGTGTTCGTTTTGTTAATTAGCATAGTGAAAACGAAATTTGTGTTCCCACGTGCAGCATCATATACCCATAATCAGTGAATTTTTCCGCGTTTAGCAACTTTTGTAAATCGAGATTCACGGTGATCGTGGGTTCTTCGCTTTTGTGAAGAGATTTTAATAAAATTCAAATACTACCTATTGTTTTTATTACGCAACTCTCAGTTCGTAATTCAGTCAGTGTTACAATGGATAGTTTACACAGTGGTTAACGTGAAATTAGTTGCGCAATGAATAATTTAAAAAACGTAAGGTTTATTGTGCATTCATATAATACAAATGTATGCTGTTTGGATAGTGTGTTTTGGTATTTCCTCTAACTAGACCGGCAAGGAATATAAGATGAAGTGACATCCTGTATTTTATTTCAGCGCCAACGGAAGTTCCACTATGACGTCATGACGCTTCACTGTTGGATGCACTGGTTCTGGATCACCTTCGTCACAGTGATCACAGGTAAAACATTGCATATACACACACATATATATATATATATATATATATATATATATATATATAATCATGTTACATAATATATCAATTTCGTTAAAGTTAATTAAATTTAATTAAATGTATCGTTCTTCCCATGTACATTTCGAATAAATCAACTTTATCTTCCGCAACTAAATTCTTGAAAGTCGGGCAAACTTTGCATACAACATATTGTATACTATATACGAGGTATGTTCAAAAAGTACCCGGAATTACTAATAATTAAATTTCGCGGGTCTGGAGTGTCTGATTGTCAAAATTTTTTTTTATTGTGTTGGTATACATGCCCCTAAAGTATGATGAAATTTTCAGCTATATTCACTGTTTACTTTGTCTGTGGTAGTCGCTAAGGTTCGACGTGTTTTTCTGAGCTCGGCGATTTTTACAATGGAAGAATTGAAAAAGTCAAAGAATTTGTATTAAATTTTGCGTAAAAAATGAAATAAAGTGTTGCAAAGTGCAAAAATTCACCAGATATGGCTCCGTGTGACTTTTTCCTATTCCCAAAGTTGAAGAGACCCATGAAAGGACGGCGGTTTTCCTCGATTGAAGAAAATCGCCGAGAGTGCTCAAGGACATATCAAAAAGTGAATATCAAGGGTGCTTCGAAAATTGGAAAAAACGCTGGCATAAGTGTATTATATCTGGGGGGGACTACTTTGAAGGGGACCACATTAATGTAGACGAATAAATAAATATTTTTTTGAAAAAACGAAAATTACGAAAACTTTTTGAACAGACCTCGTAAAGTAATAATATTATATAAATACCATAAAGACAATTGATTAATAGTCAATATTAATCAAGTAACGTTTCTAAACTTGTCGTAAGTAGTGACAGCCATTATAACAGCTAACCTATACTGATTTTGAGAAAGGGCCTAAGGGGTTCCCATTATTGCTTTAAGTTAGTCCTTTACATTAACATGATCTGTAGCCACATTGCTTTTCAAAAGTCAAAAGTAAGTTTTATGGTTCGATTTCTTTGAATAATTTTTTTTTCTTATTTTTATTGGCCTCGCTTACTCGAGCATTTAGCCTACATTATTCTATACATCATATATCCTTACAATCTTTAAATTTTATGCTATCTTCTTCATATAATCCTATTATTTTTCTATACTTCTTAACTTATCTTCATTCTTCTTTACTATCTTCTCATTTTATGTTCTAACCACATATTTCTTTTTCTTCTATACTTCTCATTTCTTCTTTTAAATTATTCTTACTTCAATTCATTTTTAATTCTAATTCTGTAATTTTTATACATTTTGATTTTACATACATATCTTTTTATTACAATGCATAATTCTATTATTATTCCAACTTAACTAGTTAATATTTTTTCAAATTCTTGCCGGAGATTCGAACTCGGAACCTCCAGCATGTGAATCGGGAACGCTACTCTTGAGCTAATCCCGCCACTTCTTTGAATAATAACTATTATTTGTATGCTAGATTATTTTATTGTTTGTTATTTGAGCATTAGTACTACTTACCAGCAATTATTTTTGATTTGTCGTACGATGATTTGCATACCCAAAGTTGGGCACGGTTCTGACCTGTATTTCACATCCTTTTGGGATGAAAATTAAACAGATAAAGAAAAATTTAACTTAACTATCTTTTATAAGAAAAGACGAAACGGTAAGGGATAGAAAAAAGCTCATATTCTGAAAGTAGGAATGGCATAAAATGGATTAAGAGCAAGGAACATGCGGTTTCTGGTTCCACGTAAAATACGTAGGTGATAGTCACTATTACCTTAGTCATCATTTTAATGACGATTCTGACTAGATCTCAGTATATTCATACATAGTTACTATAACATTTTGGTCGATTAGTGAACTCGTAATTACTAGTTAACATTTTTGATAGTTTTTAAAGAAAAAAAAATTAGTAACGACACTGGTTTGAATAGTCTAAACACAAAGTTTAGTTTACTTCTTGTTTCTTCGTTAACTTTCGTGGTAATTTTTTTTGTTGTATATTTACAAGCTACTATTATATTCATAAGCTTTGTGATTGTTTAAATAATTATGTTGTTATAAATCATTTGGTTTACATATTTCTGACAACAAAATTATATTTGTTGTTAAAAATCGTTTTGATGTTCATATTTATAGTCCTCTAAAAAAGTGGCACAGCCATAATCAGTCTCCCCTACTATATTGTAACTACGAGTATCGTAATATTAGTATGAAATCTTGTGTTTAAAAATAATTCTTATCTTATATCGCTAATACATATGGAATAAAAAGCAGAAATGTAGTGAATATAGAGCTGTGATAATAATAAATGATCCTTGTTTTAATACAAATTTTACATAATAAATTAATAAAGAAATAACTATACGCTAGCTATCAAAGGTTCCCTAACATGCAGGAATTGATTTTTCGCCTCAAATGAGTAGAGCTACTGTAAATTATCATAATACACAATTTTTAATGAGAACTTTTTTAACTCACTCAATACTTGCTTCGTTTAATTGTCCTATTCCAGTTTTTTTGATCATTTTTATCGTAGTCATAGTGCAAAATTCTAGTATAAAAAAGGCGCTTTATTTTTATTATAACGGTCCAAAAATAGAACAAGCTTGTTTACATTTCGACAAGCAAGAGTACGGTTGATTGTTACTACGGGTACGCGCATTTCCACGAGAATTTTCTCCGTGCTTATATTGCTTCTATAATTATATCTCTTATATGCTTCGTAATATTAATAGAGCTTGTAAGTTTGTTAATAGGTCTATATATATATACATATATTCATATATATATATATATATATATATATATATATATATATATATATATATATATATTATCATTTATATGGAAGTACATTTGTACTTTAAATTTTTGCGCTATTTCTATATGTTATATTTGACTTCATATCTACTCATATACACATTAACACTCATACAGAATTCAATAAATCTTAAAAACCATTTACGAATTAGCAATGTAATTAAAAAATTAAACTAATGAACTAATGAAACTAGTTTATTATTGACGATTGCCATGGATATGTTTTAATTTTTTTATCTTTAGTATAATTTACTTGTCAATTTATTTATTTATTAAGACGCGAGAATTTTTCCAATTTGGATCCGTTGCATACAATCGGTTTAAAATAAAATATATATATTGTTTACTGGTTTATTATTATAAAATAAATTGATATATCTTTAATAAACCATGCCGATGATGCATTCCGATGTAACAAATATTTGAGAAGTGTTATTAAAAAACTATATTTCGTTGTTTTCTGAAATGTGGTTTTAGTTCATATGGATAAGCTAAATGAAAACAATAGTTCAATGTGAATTACAATAGTTTTTACTTTTTTACTCTTATCCTCAATAATATTTTCTTTGAGAACTGCATTATTTTTAGTTAAATGCATTGGTTATATGCTATATAGTTTATAATTATGTACTTCTTTTATTAGATTTTTATTTAGTAGCTTATCAATAATTGTTAGAATAAAGCAAATATAATAATTATTTAAAGGAATTAAATTTGATAACCACTTCCGTCAATCTTTTGAGACAAACTTTAGACAAAAACGAGCAGAGAAAATCTATTGTAAGATTAACAAAAAAATCTATTGTAAGTGTAATAAAAACATTTTAAAAATAATATAAATTAAAACAAATAAGGAATATGTTTCTGAATATAATAAATAAGAAAGATTGGGATATGTCTCTGAATTTGTTCAGGGCTTCTCCCGTCTCTTCTTTCAGAAATCCTACTTTTTCTGAATATCCCGTTTCTTTGTCCTCAATGTCGTGGATATTATTGATTTTTTTTAATTTTTAAATATCGTAATATTTTATTACAAATTTCTATTATTCAAAGTTTCTTCAAAATAAACAGATAACTAATTGCATTAAGCCAAGTACTAATTATACTGTACTAAGATATTTGTGTTTAGCGTAATTAGCTGGCATAAAATAAACAAATCTTATCAAGTATCAGTACAAAGTTTGTATTGAACTGAGTAATGAGTAATTGAGCAAATGATTCTATTTTATGTAACACAATTATAATTGAACTACGAAATATGAAGTAACTAAATACATTTACCTGTATTTCCGTCAAGATATCTTATTCAAACAAAGATAACTTCAACAATTGATTACAACGCTGTTTTAGTGTTTCTATCTTTGAAACTGAATTTTCCGTAATTGATGAGATATTATTAAATACTAAAAATATTTTTAATATATGGTTAGTTTTATTTTATACTTGTGTATATACACAAATGTATATTTAGGGCAAAAATGTATATTTAAATTTTTAAACAATGCGGTACATATTGAAGCTGCAATTATATTTACCAACTTTGTAAATTGGCATGTAAGTGATTTAAATAATTCAAATGAGACATTAGGGGTCGAAATTTCTCTAATTAATTCTGTCTTTGATGGCGTTTTAAATTATTCGATTTTCCCTGCAACAGATTTCTAATATTAAACTTTACAAGATATTTTGCTTGTTAGTTGTTAATTACAATTTTGTAAAATACATGAATGAAACTAAATTTAAAGAATAGAAGAATAGAGGGTTGACATATGGGTTATAAGCATCAAAAATGTTGCTTTTGTCAAATGAAGGACATGCTAAATAATTGCATACTTGTAAAAGCAACAAAATTGAATTTGAATACTGGCTTAAGTGAATTGAGAACGCCAAATGGAGCGCAAAGTACTAGAACCATTTAGCACTCGAGTGCAGGCTCTTTGTACTAACTTCCCTAAATTATCAAATTATATATATATATATATATATATATATATATATATACATATATACAATAGGTATATAAATATGTAATATTGTTTGCTTATGTGGAATATTGAATTAAAATAAAAAGATGTTTAACTACTTTTAAAATCTGTTAATGTGCTACAAAACGCATATTAATCAGTTATTCATTGATGAAAATAACTGATTCATT